ATGTTCCTCTCCAATCCACCGTCACATGTTGGTGGTCAGTAAATTTCCGGCATATTAGGCCAATCGATAGGAATTAGGATAGGTTCACCACTTTGTTTCACCTTTCAAAATTGTAATTACCCATTTTTTAACCATATTTTTATGTTTTAAATAGGTAACATGTGTGTGACCAAAAAAAATAGGTAACATGTGTAACTTATGGTTATTATATGCAAAATTGTAGTATATGTTTTAAAACCATTTGTTAGTATGTTTACCACTAATGTCATATATGCAGGGAGAAGTTGTCGGATAATCCTCCAAAAGCTCTGATCTATGATCCATTCGTGTCATTTGCATTGGACGTAGGCAAGGCTTTGGGTCTATACGTGGTGGCTTATTTTACTCAACCATGGTTGGCTAGTCTTATTTACTACCACATCAAAGAAGGTACCTACGATGTTCCTATTGATAAACACGAGAACCCGATACTTGCTTCGTTTCCGGGTTTCCCATTGTTAAGTCAAAATGATCTACCGTCCTTCGCCTGCGAAAAAGGGTCGTATCCTCTTCTCCACGACGGTGTGGTTAGCCAATTCTCTAATTTGCGGCAAGCTGATTGCATTCTCTGTAACACTTTTGATCAACTTGAACCTAAGGTAAGCTTAACTTATATATACATTTATTATAAGCTTAGAGCAAGGTAGTTTTGTGAACGTCATATTTTTTTTTTTCACAGGTAGTAAAATGGATGGATGATCAGTGGCCGGTGAAGAACATTGGACCTGTGGTTCCGTCCAAGTTTTTGGATAACCGGCTGCCGGAAGACAAAGATTACGAGCTCGGGGACTCCAACACAGAGCCGGACGAGTCCATTTTGAGTTGGTTGGAGAAGAAACCGGCGAAGTCAGTGGTCTACGTTGCGTTTGGGACATTGGTGGCTTTGAGTGATAAACAGATGAAGGAAACCGCTATGGCGATTAAGCAGACCGGATACAATTTCTTGTGGTCTGTTCGTGATACAGAGAGAAGCAAATTACCGTCTGGTTTTGTGGAAGAGGCGTTGGAGAAAGACTGTGGACTTGTGGCTAAATGGGTTCCTCAGCTAGAGGTTTTAGCACATGACTCAGTCGGGTGTTTCGTGACACATTGTGGATGGAACTCGACATTGGAAGCACTGTGCTTAGGTGTTCCGTTGGTTGGGATGCCTCAGTGGACGGATCAGCCCACAAATGCTAAGTTTATAGAGGATGTGTGGAAGATTGGTCTTAGAGTGAAGACCGATGGTAATGGAGATGGGTTTGTGAGTAAGGAAGAGATCGCGAGATGCGTTGTTGAGGTTATGGAAGGAGAGAAAGGTAAAGAGATGAGGAAGAATGTTGAGAAGTTTAAGGTGTTGGCTCGTGAGGCTATCTCTGAAGGAGGTAGTTCAGACAAGAGCATTGATGAGTTTGTTGCTATTTTGAGTTAAGTTTGTTAGCTTATTACCGAATAAATAACAGCTTCTTTGTCGGTTATGTTCTGAGTAATCTCCTCTTGGCTTGGTTGGTTATTTCCCTGCAAACAAATCCATTTATGAACCCTGCGTTAAAAAATAAGGAACTTTTGATTAAAATAAAAAACAGCTTTCTTGCTACTATGAATATGATACAACATTGTATCTCAAAATGTCTCAGTTCTGCGCATTAGAGAAATCTATATAGCTCGATGAAGTATACATTATAAATTGTTACACGATATGACAGTGGCAAATCGGAGAGAG